CCCAGTACCGGAAATTGAACTCACGACCTTGCGCTTGCCAGGCAGGCGCTGTGCCGCTGAGCTAAATCCCCAGCCCCATGGGCAGTCTTTCTAATATATACATGAGTAAACTTTTTACAGAGGATCAAGTTACTGAAGACTGAGACTGCCAGCTGTGCTGGCATGTGCCTGTAATCCCGGCATTCAGGAAGTTGAGGCAGGAGGATTGCTGTGTGCTCAAGGCCAACTTGGGCTACACAGTGAATTCAAGGCCAGTCTGAACTGTATAGTAAGACCCCCTGTCTGTAAAAGAAAAGACCAAGATCATCAGTGAAATCATGTTGGGCTTATCAAATTAGGAGTGTGGCTTAATAATCAGTCGAGTGAAAAGTTTGTATTAATATGCGGCAAGGTATATTCATGAAGATAAGAGAAAAGGAAGTTTCCTGTCAGCAGTTAGTTGTGCTTAGTTATACTTTTTATGGGTCTTATATTTATAATAACAGACCCTTTTGATGAGAGCCCACCTATGTACAGTATTGTTTTGGTAGGATCAGCAAAGGAAACTGTATATTGCCACCTTCATGTGTTTTCTTGTTTGGCTTCTTTTGTTTAGAAGTGATATTCTTTGTTGCAGAATTCTAAGTACAAAGAGAAGAAATAGTTTGCTTAATTTATTGTAGTCTTTAATTGAAATCTATTTAGCTTAGGCAGTCCTGAAGGAGGTTTGAATATTTGGGGTTTTCCTTTGGTTTCAGTGGAAGGAAAATAACTTTAGTTCACTTACTCAAGGCAGTAAAACAGTTTGTTCTTCCTTTCCCACCAGCAAGAATTATGAACATAGAGCCATAAAACAGATTCAGTGTCAATTTTTAACTTCCCCATATTTCCACCCTCATCCTCAACCATAGTAAATAATGTGCCTGACTAAAATGGAAAAAGTTGAAATTTTCCACTTGTGCATTTTGAGCTTTTCAGAGGTATTATACACTCTGGAAATAATAATAAAAGATACTGGGGCTTATACAGTGCTTTTTGTGTGAGGAGCTCATGTAAACACTAATGCATTGATCCTAACACAGTACTTGATTGTGACTTTAAAAGGTCATGAGTTACTGCTGTTACCAAAAAAAAAATGGTGGGATGCCCCAATTTACAAAATTGTTTTAAAAAATCTGGATAAAAATTATATAACTAAAAATAAATGTTATAGGAGAGTTTTATTGTTTGTTGAGTTTTTCTCTTAGTCTATGATATTTATCCCCTTTATATATATTTTTTTCTATATATGAATCTACTTGAAGCCAAATTTCCTTCTTTAAATAAAAAGCAGAGTATACTTTTTAGCCTTTATTCCTTCTTAGTCAGTAAGACTTAAAACCTGTGGTGGGTTTTAGGTTTATCAGTTTATCGCATTAACATGATGTTTTTACTTGTTGTGTATTGGGAAATCATCCCTTTAGTTTTCTTGGTTTAACAATTGTAATCTGTAGCTATTGGTTTTGATGAAGGTAGTGGTCATATGGCTTAGTTTTCAGCTTTTGTGTATTTTGTAGGTTTATTCTTCAGTCTAAGGAAGTAATTCATAATCAGCTGTTGGAGAAACAGAAAATAGCAGAAGAAAAAATTAAAGAACTAGAGGTAAGTTTTTATTGAATATCGATAATAGCAGTTAATTTTTAGGAGAAAGTAAACCTCAGGTCATTAAAGTGTGTTATTACTATGGTCCATGTCTTTTTTTAAAAATCTAATTATGTTAGAGCTATGAAGCAGTGATATTTGTGGCAGTGTATAAGACAACACAAAAGCAATCTCTGTAACTGTGGGCAGTTTTAAACATACAATGGCAGTAATCTAATATATTTTCTTCTTTGCTTTTGAGTGGACACATATATTTCTAAAAACCATTGAACAAAAGACCCTTATATGACATAAGGTATACTGGAGTGTGGTGAATGGGCAGGAGAGTGGATAGTAACAGTTGTTAGAGGATCTGGGTGTCTCTTTTATATGTTGTAAATCCTTTAACCTAGATTAGGTTGTAAACAAGGATTAAATTATGAACTGTAACTAATTAAATATCTGAAGGATGGTGTTCTTGTGAGGAAACTAAGACAAATCGTAAATCCTTTTCAGGTTTTCAGTTTACTTTGCTGAGATCCATCAGAAGATTCACAATTTATGGCAGTTACAACCTTATGAAATGTATTTCTTCAATAAAACTTGAAAAATTGAAGTTACTCCTTGAGCAATAGGTAACAGGATAGATACTGTGTTACCAAGTGTGAAAAGAGAATTAATCTTATTGTTCATCTTATTGAGCTCTTGCGAGGCTGAGGCAGGGGGATCACAATGAGTTTGAGGCCAGCCTGGGCTACAGAGTAGGCTCAAGGCTAGCCTGGACTACAGAGCTAGAGCTGCCCTTCCTCCGAAAAGAAAATGTTAAGTGTAGCTATTTTTATCACTTATGTTAGCCAGACCTGCTTTACAGCTCCCTGTAGCTTCTGTGTTAATACTTGCTGCTTCACCTTGTACTTTGTATTATGGAGCTGACTTATTTCCTTAAAGCTCATGAATCAGCCTTGGCTAATTTCAGACTTTTCTTCTGCAATTTCCTCATCACTTTCAGCCTTCCCAAAATTGAGGGGAGTTAGAGGCTTGCTCTGGTTTAGGCTTTAGCTGAAGGGAATTTGTGATAGGTTTGATTTTCTATGCAGATGACTAAAATGTCCTCCCTATCAACAGTAAGGCTGTTTTATTTTCTTTTGCATGTGTTCACAAGAGTAGCACTTTTTAACTCCTTCAAGAATTTTTCCTGTGCATTCACAGCTTGGCTAAGAAAAGCAAGAGGTCTGGTTTTAACTTATTACTGAAAGCTTTTGCTTTTTACTGTGCCTTTCTCACTAAACTTAATCACATCTAATGTTTGATTAAAAGTGAGAGACTTTAGACTTGTCCTTTCCCTTAATACTTAGAGCCCACTGTAGGATCATTCTTTGCCCTAATTACAATATTTGTTCTCAAGGAATAGGAACACCTGAAGAGAGGAAGCTAGGAGAATAGCTGGTTGGTGGAACATACACTTAACAGTTAAATTTGCCATCTTTTATGGATGTGGTTTGTGGTACTGCATAACAATTAAAATAGCAACATCAAACATTACTTATTATAAGTCACCTTAAGAAATATAATAGTAATGGAAAAGTTTGTAAGATTATGATAATTACCAAAATGGGACAGAGAGGCATAAAATGAGCATATTCTGTTGGAAAAATGGTGCCAAAAGACGTTTGCTGTGCAGGATTCCCACAGGCCTTGAATTTGTTACAAATGAAATGACTGCAAAACACAATGAAGTGAAGTATGTCTCATTTTCAGTACTGCCCTAACTTGTATTTTTAACAGTATCAGCCGCTATGTACTCCCTTCTCTTCTTTGAAGCAACCGTTTACTTTTTCTTTCCAGTACTGTACTGGGAATTGAGCCCAGGACTTTCACAGTGATCTACATCCCTAGCCCTTTTAAAAATGGTTTATTTTGAGACAAGATCTCTCTAATTGCCTGGGCTGGGCCTGAACTTGTGATCTTTCTTGCCTCAGATTCCCAGAGTGATGGAACTACAGGTGTGCACCACCATGCCTGGCTAGCAGTCTTTTAGTTTTGTATTGCTACACCTTTATAGTTTTGTTACTTTAGCCTAAAATCTGCCTGTGCGCACATTCACTGTGCACTCATACATACACATTGATTACAGTGTACAAGTTTTCTCTTTGTAATTTTTCTGCTGCTTATTCAGTTTGTTGATGAGAAAGATACAAGAGATCTCCCTCAATGCTGGTATTTATACATTTCTTTATACTCTGTCAGTTTCATGGACAGTGACATTCAGAGACTACCGTTTAGTGTGCAAGTGCTCACTGTTCTGTATACATGGCTCAGAGCTTATATTTTATTTTGTTTTATAGTTTTAGGAATTTCTCAGCTCTATTAAAGATAGCATTCTGTTGACTTCTGGCTTTTACTGTTGGTGTGAGAAGTCATCTGTCAGTCAAATTGTTGTTAATTTGTTTTTTCTCTTTGACTTCTTTTTTTTTGTCTTTTTGAGACAGCACTATGCAGTTCAGTCTGGCCTTGAGCTCACTGTGTAGCCCAGGCTGGTCTCGAACTTGCAAAGATCCTCCTGCCTCAGCCTCCCAAGTGTTGGGATTATAGGCGTGCCACCACACCTGGCTGACTTCTTTTAATATTCTCTCATTGTTCTTTATAATTTCTCTGGACTGTGTTTCGGTGTGATTTTTTTCTTAACCCCACTTGGAATTTGTTGGTATCCCAAATCTAAGAATAGTATATTTCTTCAGTTCTGGAAAATTCTTACCTTTGAATATTATTTCTATTATTATTATTTTTTTTTTGAGGGTCTTACTGTGCAGTTCAGGCTGGTCTCAAACTCATGTAGCCCAGGCGGCCTCAACTCAAGGTGATCGTCTTACCTCAACCTCCTGAATGCTGGCTTACAGGCATGTGCTACCGTGTCTGGCTTCTTTGTTTAATAATACTATTTCCTTCTGGAATTTATTCACACTTTAAACTGGCTGTGATCACTATCTGCAGTAGCATTTTAACTGGTTTTCTTATTTCTAGCCCCACTCCCTTTTACCCTTTATGCATATTTAAGTAAAAAATGGCCTTTCAATCTTAAACTAATATGCTGTTTCCTTGTGCTCCTGGATTACTCTGTTAGCTTTTTAGCACAATGTAAGAACTTGGAAATAAACTATTGCCAGTTGAAGTAAATCACAGATATGGTTTCCTAGTATTTAGAAAGCTTGACACAGATTTAGAAGTCTAAATGGGTTTTCCCAAGGCCTCCTAGTTGTTGCTTCTCCTGTCAAGTCCAATCTCTTCTTCTGGATCCTAGTGTTTCTTGCCAGTTCGACACATTTTGTCATTCTCTTCAGTCATTGTCCTTGTCATCATCATTATCAGCAATTGCCTTGCAATGACATGAGAAAGGCACAATTTATACAGAACCCTATAGAAAAGGGCAGGTTATTTTCTTTTTGCATGTTTTCATCTCTGAAAGAATACATTTCTTTTGGTCTGCCTCACAGGTCAGTTTTTGATTAACGTGTTCCTCCCAGTTTGAACCCACAGTGATACATGCATGACTGTCCCATTTGCAGTGGTGCAAATGGGTCTAATCATTTTCATCAGTATTTTTACTAATAAAATTAATAAAAAATCTATAAATGGACAGAATCTAGTTGTTTGCTTGAATTTGAATAATTACTGCCCAAATATACTTAGTATTCATACCAATTAAAATTATTATAATCACATTTGTTTCATTAAATTAAAAGAAATTTATTTGCATTTGTGAATTTCTTTAAAACATTTTATACATAGCGGCAACTGACTTGTGCAAGATGTGCAAAACATCATAACGTGCTTGGCTTTTTTGTGACCATAGTAGCCTGTGGAGTTTGTTTTGTTCTGTTTTTTCAGACAAGGTCTCACTATGTAGCCCAGGCTGGCCTGGAACTCATATTCTCTTGCTTCAGCCTCCCACCTTTTTTTTTTTTTTTTTTTTTTGGTATCGGGAATTGAACTCAGGACCTTGTGCTGCGCTTTCCAGGCAGGCACTTGTGCCGCTGAGCTATATCCCCGGCTCTCTCAGCCTCCCAAGTGCTGGGATTACAAGCGTGCACCACTACACCTGGCTAGTACCTGTTCTTTTTTTTTTGTTTTGTGGTACCAGGAATCAAACTCTGGACCTTGTGCTTGCCAGGCAGGCGCTTGTACCACTGAGCTATATCTCCAGCCACACCCATTCTTTTAGATAATTTTCAGTAATATTCTTGACATCACTTTTGTGTATTTCTTACTAATCCTTAAAAAGCTTTTATAAAGTGAATGTTTTTTTGACTAATTTGCCTCTGTGGCATTTCTTTACAGGTTAATAGTTTATCAGTAATTAGTGCTCTAAATTTTAACATGGAAATCTTGACAAATACCCTACTGTTGCATATGTAGTATGTATTTACAACAGCTGTACCACAAATTAGTTGCATTACAGTTTTTTCGTATCATTTTAATGTTTTCCTTAAGAAACTATAAAATGATAACATCTGGTGTACTAAATCAGCACCTTTTTTTTTTAGTTATTGCAATCAAAGATCCCCTGAGAAGCACTATAAGCAGCCCAATGGGACAGTGATATATTTGCTACTGATGGTTCGAGCTGGCAGATGCAGGGAGAGTCATGCATGTACCACCAGTGGTTCAAGCTGGCAGGAATGTGTTGAAGTTCTTAACTTAGGACAAACCTTTTTCTTTGACACAGGTATTGTTCTGACGCAAATTGTTTGACCTAAGAGCTCATCTTCATGTTATTTTTTAGACTCTTTTACTTAGCTCTGTTCTTGTTTATGTTGGTCCTCTTCTGAGGTCCTCCTTTCCTCTGGTCTTTATTTATGAATATAAAGCTTACTTAGAATCTGTTTAACTACTTACAGTACTGTCATGCTGGGTGCCTTGTCAGTGAACCTGGTGGCCTTTTTCTCTTGCAGGGTAGGTATGGAGGTCCTCTTCATAGGGATGATACGCTTTACTAGGAGGGTGAAGACAAGCACTCAACAATG